TACTCCTACTGCTACTGCTACTGCTACTGCTACTGCTACTGCTACTACTACTGCTACTGCTACTACTACTACTACTACTACTACTACTACTACTACTACTACTACTACTACTACTACTACTACTACTACTTACTACTACTACTACTTACTACTACTACCACTACTACCTTACTTGCTTACTTACCTACCTACCTACCTAACCTACCTAACCTGCCTAACCTGCCTAACCTACCTAACCGATCTACCTATCTACCTACCCTACCTAACCTACCTAACCTACCTAACCTAGCTAACCTACCTAACCTACCTACCTACCTACCTACCTGCCTACCTACCTACCTACCTACCTATACTCCTACCTATGCTCCTACCTATAATACTACTACTACTACTACCACTACTACTACTACTACTACTACCACTACTACTACTACTACTACTACTACTACCTACTACCTACTACCTACTACCTACTACCTACTACCTACTACCTACTACCTACTACCTACTACCTACTACCTACTACTACTACTACCTACTACCTACTACCTACTACCTACTACCTACTACCTACTACCTACTACCTACTACCTACTACCTACTACCTACTACCTACTACCTCCTACCTCCTACCTCCTACCTGCTAACTGCTAACTGCTAACTGCTAACTGCTAACTGCTAACTGCTAACTGCTAACTACTAACTACTAACTACTAACTCCTAACTCCTAACTCCTAACTACTAACTACTGCCTTCTACTGCTTACTACTGCTTACTACTGCTTACTACTGCTTACTACTGCTTACTACTGCTTACTACTGCTTACTACTGCTTACTACTGCTTACTACTGCTTACTACTGCTTACTACTGCTTACTACTGCTTACTACTGCTTACTACTGCTTACTACTGCTTACTACTGCTTACTACTGCTTACTACTGCTGCTACTGCTGCTACTGCTGCTACTGCTGCTACTGCTGCTACTGCTGCTGCTGCTAATGCTGCTGCTGCTGCTACTACTACTACTGCTACTGCTACTACTACTACTACTCCTGCTACTCCTCCTACTACTTACTACTTACTACTTACTACTTACTACTTGCTACTTGCTACTTGCTACTTACTACTTACTACTTACTACTTACTACTTACTACTAACACTACTAACACTACTAACACTACTAACACTACTAACACTACTAACACTACTAACACTACTAACACTACTAACACTACTAACACTACTAACGCTACTAACACTACACTACTAACACTACTAACACTACTAACACTACTAACACTACTAACACTACTAACACTACTAACGCTACTAACACTACTAACACTACTAACACTACTAACACTACTAACACTACTAACTACTAGCAACTACTACTACTCCTCCTCCTCCTGCTACTACTACTACTACTACTACTACTACTACTACTACTACTACTACTACTACTACTATACCTCTCCTCCTCCTCCTCCACCTGCTGTTGCTGCTGCTTCTGCTGCTGCTGTCATTCTCATTTTTATGGTTATTGCTTTTGACAGTAGTATGTTTGTTTTTTAATCAATGATGATGACGACGACACCTTTGACATATGTGTGTAGACGGTTGTAGGCCTACGAAACTCACAGCCACAAGCGGGGCGAGCTGTGCCAGGTCTTGGTTCACTCCGACCACTGCGCCAAAAAACTGCTGCCATGGTTCGATGGCTTTGACCTCAGCTTTTGTCCTATCTTCTTGGATTCTTTTGGATGTATTGTGCATTTTTGACCACGGCCCAAGGCGGCCTTGACTGGCGATGTATTTTATTTTTTGAAACTCGGAACGAGGCTTGTGCCTGCGATCTGAGGCATGTTGGAGGCTGACGAGGCATACTTCAAGGAGGATGGAGAGCCGCTATTCTCTTCCAACATGTTGGATGATTTACTCTCTGAAACGTGACTTTCCCAAGTTGGATGATTTCCGGTTTCCCCCATTGAAGAGACATGAGATGGGAGAAACAAGGCCGCATGTGCAGTCAAAAAAATAAGCACCAGTGCGGGACATGCTGACAATTGTGCACCAATGGCGCCTGGACATCTGATACTGTGCATATGTGCGGCTTTGCGTTTGAGTCACTGGTTGAAGCATGGTGACACTAAGGCACTAAGGCATTGTGTTTGATCTTTGGAAGCTGTTTTTCTCCAAGCCAAAAAACTTTGAGCTAGTAATTTCCATTTGAACCTGGCAGACTGGAGTCAGATGCTGCGCCCCATTCTCCCAGTGCTGCTTTTGCACGCAATTCGCTCGCAAGTCCACGAAAGCTGTGAACGTGATGATTGTTTGAAGGACCGCTTGTCCCATGTCCAGTTTGATCTCATTCAATATCTTAACCCAAATCCAACTTAACCAAATCTCAAGTTCCATCCAAGGTTCAACACCCCCAAATCGCCATCCGACATCTAACCAAACAGCGATTTCAATGAATGTTTCTATGTTAGCTAACAATCTTCTACCCGACTCTACCCTTCCCTAATCTAGACAATACCCAGTCCAACCCACTCCAACCCATTCCAAGCATTTGCAATCTACCTAATCTACTGAATCTATAAAATCAATCCGATCAACCGCATGTACCTGCTCTACCTGATCTGCTTAGTCGATCTGCAGCAATAAATCCAGTGAGACATCAATCTACCTGATATCTTGAATGAATGAACGGAATGGCACAGAGAAGAGTGGAACGAGGAAATTTAATCTGATCCTTTGGTCTTCTGCCGGCCATGTGGCTTGCGCCAGGGGTGCCTGCATGAAGTTGGGGCAAAAGCTGGTTTGTGTAAAAGCTACTTGTTCAATAGCTAGTTTGTGGCACGGCTAGTTTGTGAAAAAGATAGTTGGCGTAAAACTTGGTTTTGTCTATGGCTTGTTTGTGCAAAAGTGAGTTTGTGGCAGTTTTTATTTTGCAATCGCAGCCGGAGTAAAGGCCAGTTTGTGCAAAACCCGGTATGCGTAAAGGTTACTTGAGGTAAAAACTAGTTTGTGGCACAGCTTGTTTGTGAAAAAGGTAGTTGGTGTAAAACTTGGTTTTGTCAACGGCTTGTTGGTGCAAAAGTTAGTTCGTGCCAAAATTAATTTGTGTAAAGAAAAATCAGTAGGTAATCAAAAATGCAAGACTATGATATACAACAAAAGAGGCCCAACCCCAGTAAGCAGATTGTGGACCTGCTTATTGCGCCGCCCTTGTAGACAGAACACTGACACCAAGAAACTGACCGGGTGAGGTAATTTTGGGTGTAAGATTGCATGGAGGGGTGGTAGCATATTTCAGTATCAAATGTAATTATTTGTTTTTTTTTGTTTGTTTCTTTGTTTCTTTCTTTCTTTCTTTCTTTCTTCTGTGTTTTTTTTCTTTCTTTCATTTTATTTATTGTTATTTTTTTTCTCTCTCTCTCTCTCTCTCTTTCTTTCTCTCTGTCTCACTCTCTCAGAAATGTCCTGTCATGTCAATGCTAAGTTTACCTTTCCTGCTTTTCTACTTTGAGTGTGCGGTTTCCTGGGGGTTGGAAGTTTCAGACTTTGTTTTTTCTGTAAGGCATGGTTTTGTTTTTTTTCAATTGTGTTCTTGTTTTTGTGTGTTTTCTTTTTTTCATTATATTTGGCTGTTTTCTGAACATGTCTTCAATGTGTTTCCTACCTGTTTCAACAGGGGTGCAGTAAGCAGTTTTCATTGCTGATGGTTTGCCCATAAAACAGGAACCTGCTTTCTACACCCCTGAAATCCAGGATTGTCCCCAAAAGTGCCTGAATCCACGATTTGTGGGGTGCAGTAAGCAGGGAAATCTCTTCTTACCACCCGTGTTTGACTATAATAGGACAAACCAAAATTTTACCTAGAACAAATTATGCACTCAGCCAGAGCAACGTAAGCAAAACACAAATCCATGCAATATAGGAGGCCCAAAACTCAAGCATAGTTTCTACAAACACGAACAATCACGTCCACAAAACATGCTGGCAGGCCGGAGGATTAAGCGGATTGAAGCAGAAACAAACGAACGAGTAGACAAACGAACCAGCCAAGGAAGGATGGAAACAATGGAGGAAGCAAACAAGGAACGAAACAATGAGTTTTGAAGGGATGAAGAAGAAGGAGGAAGGAGAAACAGAAAGAGAGGAAGAAGAAGAAGAAGAAGAAGAAGGAGAAGAAGAAGAAGAAAAAAAGCAGAAAAAAAGAAAAACACACGGAAGAACAAAAAGAAAAATAATAAAATAAGAATAAACACACACATAATAATAAGAAAAGTGCATGCATGCTTGACTGAATGAATGACATGTGCAAATGTGTATGCAGTTGAGTAACTCAAAGACTGTTTGAGAACAAATTGACAATGTCAGTCAAAAATCAGACAGATAAACGATCAATTCGACTCGGTCAACCCACCAACCTGACAGCCAGCCACCCACATACCCAAGTTTCTCAGATGTTCTGCAGCGCCGCAGGGCGAGCCAGAAAATGCCGTGATGCTGCAAGCCTTTGCTGACAGCAAACATTACAAGAACTTCGCCCGAGATGTGCTCCAAGTCTCCACGCAAGACGATCCCATAACATGTAGTGACATTCCGGAAGTGCCTTTTATGCAAAAAGATTGCACACATCAAAGTACCTGATTTGACACCTGTGACCAGTGTCTAGGATTGTTTGGAATCCTTTAGGTATTTTTGATTTTCTGAGTGTCTCATGGTTGCTTGTATTTATATCGCTCCGGATCAACCAAGTTCTATCACGCCGGTGGTAACGCTTGCGGCCGAGAGACCGTGGCCGCTTGTGTTTTTGGCAACTACGCCGCGCCTTGTTGGCAAATCCCTGGCACATGCACTGTCTCGGACGCCTCGCAAAGTCAAATGGGACACGGGAACAACCCCAGGCCCTTCAGTGCCTATCACTCCACCAGAGGACTACATTTGCATTACGGCAACCTGCACCAAATCTGGGGCCGGCCAGAAGTGCATGGCCATTGACCCCCGTATTCCGGGGGGGGAAGTGACGCTGAATTCTGCTGGGGGCGATATCAGCAATATGAGGATTCAATACGCCTGCGGCTCGGCATGTCCTGGAAGTGATCCATCATCAAGTACCACCAGCACCACTACAGGTGGTGGCGGCGGGGGGGATCCGCATATCCAGACTATAAAAGGGGACTCGTACACCTTGACGAAACAAGGCAACTTCCTGGCCTTCAGCTTCAAGGGAAAAGAGGCCCTGGTGGCACCTGCGCCTTATGGCAGTGGTAGTCCTGGTAGTCACAGCCATGGCGATGGCGCCTCGCGGGTCCCTGTGGATTTCGAGCTCTTCGTGCACTACAACGACGGCCGCAAGAGCTTCACCCGAGGATTGCTGCTGTTGGACCACCAGAACCACCAGGCCATGGAGATGACCTCGGAAGACTGCCGCTGGCGGGTCCGAGCAGGCCCCGTTGTGACCGAGTGTTCCCTAATTTCTTTTTGGAAAAAACTTGGAAAGGGATGCGAATTTCAGGTTTTGCCACCATTTTGCCACGTTTTTGAATCTGTTTGAAGTTGCTCCCCCTTTTTTTGGGAGGAGAGTCCGACTGGAAGACCTTGACGGAATGGAGGAAGTCCGTATCAAAGTCCGAAGTCTCGTCAGATCTCCTGTACCAACGTGGGAACGGAGCCTATGTCACGGGCTTGAACATCTCAAGGGCAGAGAACACTTTCAACCTCTCAAAAATCGAAATGAACACGTTCATCACAGGGGCAGAGAGGAATTTCAGCGGGAAGACTCTCAAGAGCTATGCAAAAGCTATAATTCTGATCAACATGAACACACCAACAGGCCTGACTGATGTGGTGAAATTGAAAGTGAAATGCTACCCAGGGTACCACATGAACTACAGGGTGGGCGTGTACAATGGCAAGGACTTGCGATTTGTGGGCGGTGAAGTGGGCGGAACATCAAGCGAACCAAAGGAGACTCCGGAATTCCTACAGGTGGGCCAGGGCACGATCCAGATGAGATCGGACTCAGGTTTCCAGTACCACCAGAGTTGGGAAGAGCTTGGCGGCAGTGCGTCTGCGGCTTTGTATCTCCAGGACCAAGATGATTCAGTGGCTGGAAGCTCCAAGCTCATGACCACCCCGTGCACCAAATCTGACCAGCAGAAGGCTATGGAGATTTGTCGCAACGCAGGGCTGAAGGATCAGACTTCTCTCTCCTTCGCAGAGTGTGTTTTTGATGTATGTCGAGCCGGTGGAGATGCCCTGCCCGAACTCACTGAGATCTCCTGGCATGAAGATGACTGAACCGTGAGCTTCCGCATTATGATATAGTGTATGAACCGTGAGCTTCCGCATTATGATATAGTGTACAATACAATACAATGCAATGTACGGAAATATTATACATACCAGTAGTACCGCACAAGGCGGTGGCGGAAGTTTCAAAAATAGGAAACCTATAGGAGAGGTTGGTTGTTGTGAATCAGGGATGGCAGAGCGAATCCACTGATGGACCGAAAGGTGCTTGAGGTCTCCTCTCTTTCGCTCTCTTTCTCTGACTATCTACCTACCTACCTACCTACCTATCTATCTATCTATCGATCTATCTCTCTCTCTCTCTCTCTCTTTCATCTGTCTATCGATCTATCTCTCTCTCTCTCTCTCTCTTTCATCTGTCTATCTGTCTATCTGTCTATCTGTCTATCTGTCTATCTATCTATCTATCTAACTATCTATCTATCTATCTATCTATCTAACATAGACCCGGGCAAGCCGGCGGCGGAAGTTTCCCAAACATAAATGACCTATAGTTCGAAGACAACACGTCCCGACCGTGTCCTTCCCTCGACAACCGTTTGATTTTTTCAGCGAGAGACGAAGCAATGTCTTCACACTCCACACTTCACACTGCACACTTCACACTTCTCACTTCTCACTGCTTCCTTCACACTCCAAACCTCACACTTCACACTTCACACTTCACACTGCGCTCTTCGCACTCCAAACTGAAACTTCACACTCCACACTTCACACTTCAATAGGATCTGCAGAGACTGAGTTGCAAAACACAATAGAACTACGCGCAACGGCGTCGGAAATTGTAGCTCCAACGCCAGAGCAGAAAAAGTTGATTTTAAATAGAAAATGAAAGCAGCCAAAATCTGAAAGATCCTTTTTTTTTGTCTTATGTATGCAATACGATCATGGTTTTTTGTGCGGTTCGTAACAACGCACACAGAAACCAAAACCAAGTGACAGAGGCATTCTGCGGTTCGCAACTCTAAATGAAAGGCGAAGCTACTGAAGCACAGCAATTCAGACCCGGATGCGGTTCATAACAACGCACACCCAGCCCTCGGCAGTCAAACGAGAGTTGATCCCTCTGCGGCAAGACCTTGTCTGCGCTTCATCTCAGCATCAACAAACTCTGGTTCAAAGGACCGCACAGCTTCCCAGAGATGAAGGTATTGTCTGCGGAGAACTTCGTCGTCCGACTCTTTGTCGTCCAACCACGTACTGTTGTTGCGCAAGACGATTTTGAAGCACTTTTTAAAAGGATTTTTAGAAGGAAAATCACTGACGCCAAAATGGAGAAAATCTGCTGACAAATCACTGTGGCAGCCTTCATGCAGCCACTCCAATGCGATTTACGAAGTCCAGCTGCAAAAGACAATAGTATTACGAATACAGCCACAGCACGAAGCAACCTTGACGCAGCCATTACAATGCGATCTGCAGAGACTGAGTCGCAAAACGCAATAGAAGTACGCGCAACGGCGTCGGAAATTGTAGCTCCACAACCGGATCTCGACGCCAGAGCAGAAAATGAAAGCAGGCAAAATCTGAAAGAATCAAGCTGCAGCAAGTTCACGCAGCCATTACAATGCGATTAGCAACAATCCCTAGCAAAACACAATGGTATTACGTCCTCAGCTCGTCCACCGAACCATTTGAAACCTTCTAGACATTGCGGGAACGATCCTACAGTTGCAAAGCACAATGGAATTCCATCTGCAACTCCTCCACCAGCGGATGTACGCCCTGGCGTCCCTCGGGCTCCGCGTCTTTTGCGTGGCAGGCGTGGGACACTGTGCACTGCCAAGGGGTCGGATGTACGCCCTGGCGTCCCTCGGGCTCCGCGTCTTTTGCGTGACAGGCGTGGGACAATGTGCACTGCCAAGGGGTCGGATGTACGCCCTGGCGTCCCTCGGGCTCCGCCTCTTTTGCGTGGCAGGCGTGGGACAATGTGCACTGCCACGGGGTCGGATGTACGCCCTGGCGTCCCTCGGGCTCCGCCTCTTTGGCGTGGCAGGCGTGGGACAATGTGCACTGCCAAGGGGTCGGATGTACGCCCTGGCGTCCCTCGGGCTCCGCCTCTTTTGCATGGCAGGCGTGGGACAATGTGCATTGCCACGGGGTTGGATGTACGCCCTGGCGTCCCTCGGGCTCCGCCTCTGTTGCGTGGCAGGCGTGGGACAATGTGCACTGCCAAGGGGTCGGATGTACGCCCTGGCGTCCCTCGGGCTCCGCCTCTTTTGCGTGGCAGGCGTGATACGTACACACGCACACACACACATATATATATATATATGTATATTATTCGAACTGATTTCTGCGTGAAGTCACGGCCGTGAATGCTGATCCAGCGAGATCACATTGGCCAGTCAACGCGGCCGTCAAAAGAACAGCTGAGTAAAACAGGATGTTGGACATGACGAGCGCAAACAAATCACACTGCAAGCGTTTTCCTCTGAGTCAACATCTAGATGGACACGTTTCATGGTCCATCTGAATGCTTGTCGGCTATTCAGTTGTATTGCTAAGACTTGACAGCTGCCACAGCTGGCACTTCTGGTAAAAAACTGGAGTTGAACATCCAACTTATTTGCAGCCGTTTGTGGGTTGCTCACCGCAGCTGGTTTGGCCCACAGACTTGCACCCTCTCGAAGCTTCGTCAGCTGTGGCAAACATGTCGTTCTGGGAAGTTCCAGGGATGAAGGCATGGCCAATGTCGGAAAAAGGGGAATCCCGGAACACCAAACTCCGCTTTTTCTAAACAACATCATCAACATCCATGAAAATCCGCCAACATCCAGTTGGCAAAAAAAATATGTTTTCATCTCAGAAGCCAATGATTGGGGTGTACTGTACAATACCGTACTCCATTTTTCCAACGCCCAGGCTGGCGTGATCACAGGTGACCTTGCGTGGGCTCTCCTTCAGCATGCGAAGGAGCGGGGTCTTTGGTGCCACAACGTAACTTCAACTTTATAACCATTTCATGGCTACTTATAACTAATTTGTAATATTTGGATAGTTTTGGAAAGAGAACGCATTTGATTTTCGAGGTTTGGATATTTTGGATCCATCGTCTATGTTGGATGATCTTTTTGCGATTGAGGAAAACAAGTACGCCATCCCAGCATTCAACTGCACCAGCTGAGGCCTTAGGCAACCACTCAGCACCTGAGACCAGTCTGCCCTCCGTAAATCTCCGTGACCTAAGGCTCCAGCACCATCAACTCAGTGCTTGAAGCCGGCAAGGAGGGCCCGGACGGGCTGTCGATTTCAACCCCCATGAAGAATGGCCAGCTCGTGTTGAACTATAGTGAGCTATCGCAAGCAACAACGACTGGTGCTCATCATTGTGAGCGAGCAGCCATCTTGTTGATTGCCATTCGGTGGTAATATGAGTTATTCCGCTTACAATCTCTGATACTATAGGTGCAAATCGTCCAAGTTCGGGGCGCCCAACGCCTTGAATTTGTCTTAAAATGGTTTGAACAGTTCAAAAACTGAAATAGGCTATTTGGCTCCGGCCATAGGAGCTGAACCGCCCAGTGATGATCCAGTTCTCAGAGGGTGGCTCTGCTTTTGTGCCTTGGTTCAAGAATTTTTCGAAGCTGGACCTTTTCACGTTGTTTCTCATTGTTTCTCGTTGTTTCTGAAGACTGACTGGTGGAAAAGGAGGCATTATTTTTCATTTGAGTAAATTATAGGAATATATTTTTAGTATCTTTTGGTAAAGAAAAAATAGACTATATAAGTATATTTGTTGTTTTTGGTATCTTAGCCAACTCATTTAGGGTTCGTGTCGTGTCTTGTTCCTGAGCAGAAGCCGGGCGTGTCAAGGTGGCTGGCAAGGCCCTTCCGAATGAGAAGGGCAAACTGCAGGTGGGCACTCCCCAGCAGCATCCACAGGGTGACATATGTGAGGCTGTTTCCTATTGAATAGCCCCTACTGGGTGGGCTTTTTACACTAAGATGGCACAGGAATTTTTGATAGCATCCTTTTTCAGCCGAGTTCCACTTTGTGAATGCCGGGTACTCGTAAATATATACTTTAACTTTGGCCCTGCACGAAAAATTGGACACTGAAATATTGTCCTTTTTTTGTCGACCTCTTGCATGGTTGTTTCAGATGATGTATACAAGTATCAAAGCACACTCCATGGTGGGTTTTGCAGCAGCCATGGCTTCCAATTCTTACGAAGCAATGAATCAATGAATCAATGAATAAGTGAACTAGTGAGTCGATGAATCAATGAATCAGTGAATCAATGAATCAGTGATTGAGTGAATTAGCGGGTAGATGAATCAATGAACCAATGAATCAGTGAATCAATGAACCAGTGAATGAGTGAATGGGTGAGTCGATAAATCAGTGAACCAATGAACCAATGAATGAAAGAATGAATCGATGATTCAGTGAATCAATGAACCAATGAGTCAATGAATCGATGATTCAGCGAACCAATGAATTAATGAACTTAGAGTGGATGAATCAGTGAATCAATGAATCCGTGAATGAAGGAATGAATGAATGGATGGATGGATGAAGGACTGGATGGATGGAGCAGTGAGCTACTCCTTTGTTGAGCTACTTCTTCACTGAACGACCTTTTCGCTGAGGTACCTCTTCTCTCAGCTATTTCTTTTCTGCGCAACCTCTTATCTGGGCAACTTCTTTTGACCCTGCTCTGAGCTGCCTCCCATTTGCCTCTTCTGTAGCTTCTGCAACCGAATTCTTCTCTTCGCGCAGCTGCTACAATGTGTTTGGCAACCTCCAGCTGCAATCCCGCACAGCACAAGAGTAGCCCTATGGTCTAAACTAATTTTCGCGCAGCTGTTACGATGCGTCTAGTAGCTGCTTCTCCCATAGCAGGAGCATCGCAGCATCACTCAGGCTTTGCTGCGCGCAGGTTTTGTCACCGGTTGCAACCCGCATAGCAGGAGCGTCGCACCACATCGACCAACATTCGCGCAGCGTCAGCAGTGCGGACTTTTTGGGACTGCTCCTAGACCGTCGGTTTTCATGAAAGCCAGCCGCTAGGCTAGGCGAAGTTATGTTTGCGAACAAAGTGAGTTAAGGGGGTCTGGGGGCAGAGCGCCCCGAAACGGACAAAAATGAGGAAATTAGGTGGTAAAAAAGGTGGCCACAGGTAAACTTTTTTAGGGTTATGTACCAGGTGGCAATTGGGTGACGTTGGGGTATCGATTCCCCCCTGGTCCGCCCTCCGAGGTGGATCTGGGCAGATTGCAATGGAGGGGAAAATGATGAGAAAAACAATAGAAAAAATGAGGGAATATGACTCTGACATAAAACAATGGGAAAAAAATGGGAAAGGAGGGGAAAATGATGAGAAAAACAATGGAAAAAAGGAGGGACTTTGACATAAAACAATGGAAAAAAAATGGGAAAGCAATGGAAAATTTGAGTAGAACGCTTGGAAAATTGATTAAAACGCGAGGCGAAACGGTGGAAAGAATAGGAGAGGGTAAAATGATGCCAAGTAAATTGAGGCTCCGATGTGGGACCATTATCGCGTAAAGCACGCGTGAAACAATGGAAAAGCAATGGAAAAATTGCAGTTTCGATGTGTGACCACTATGGAGTAGAAGCACAGAAAAAAAACAATGGAAGAAACGAGCAAAACCGTTTATACGGTGCAACTGTAGGGATTGTGGAAGGTGCATTTGGGTAAGCGTTAGACACACTGAGATAATAGAAGGGTAATGATGGAGAAATCGAGTAACACCATGGCAAAACACTGGAAAAATTGATGACATGGAAGGATAAATTGATAGCGTAAAATATGGGACGATTGAGTAAAACTGGAGGAAAAACTGTGAAAAAAACACTGGGGAGACTGGAATGGAGGGGAAAATGATGTCGAGTAAAAGTATGGAAAAGCAATGGAAAAAATGAAAAAAATGTGGCTTCGATGTGAGACCATTAGCGATGGAAAAGCAATGGAAAAATCAAGGGACTATGATGAAGAAGCGGAGAAAAACAATGGAAAACATATTGGAAAAATTGCGGCTCTGATGTGGGACCAAAATGATGCCAAGTAAAATAAGAGTAAAATGACGGAAATTGATGGGATGGAAACACAATGGAAAAACTGAGGCTCCGATGTGGGACCATTATATGTGCAAGAAGAGTTTCTGGGTGAAGAGCCTCTAGGTGCAAAGTATATGGGTGAAAAGTTTGTGCAAGAAGAGTTTCTGGGTGAAGAGTCTCTGGGTGAAAAGTCTGTGCAAGAAGAGTTTCTGGGTGAAGAGTCTCTGGGTGAAAAGATGTGAAAAGTATATTGGTGAAAAGTATGTGCGAGAAGAGTTTCTGGGTGAAGAGTCTCTGGGTGAAAAGTATATGGGTGAAAAGTAGGTGCAAGAAGAGTCTCTGGGTGAAAGTATATGGGTGAAAAATATGTGCAAGAAAAGTTTCTAGGTGAAGAGTCTCTGGGTGAAAAGTATATGGGTGAAAAGTATGTGCAAGAAGAGTTTCTGGGTGAAGAGTCTCTGGGTGAAAAGTATATGGGTAAAAAGTATGTGCAAGAAGAGTTTCTGGGTGAAGAGTCTCTGGGTGAAAAGTATATGGGTGAAAAGTATGTGCAAGAAGAGTTTCTGGGTGAAGAGTCTCTGGGTGAAAAGTATATGGGTGAAACGTATGTGCAAGAAGAGTCTCTGGGTGAAAAGTATATGGGTGAAAAGTATGTGCAAGAAGAGTTTCTAGGTGAAGAGTCTCTGTGTGAAAAGTATATGGGTAAAAAGTATATGGGCGAAAAGTATGTGCACGAAGAGTTTCTGGGTGAAGAGTCTCTGGGTGAAAAGTCTGTGCAAGAAGAATTTCTAGGTGAAGAGTCTCTGGGTGAAAAGTATATTGGTGAAAAGTATGTGCAAGAAGAGTTTCTGGGTGAAGAGTCTCTGGGTGAAAAGTATATGGGTAAAAAGTATATGGGTGAAAAGTATGTGCAAGAAGAGTTTCTGGGTGAAGAGTCTCTGGGTGAAAAGTATATGGGTGAAAAGTATGTGCAAGAAGGGTTTCTTGGTGAAGAGTCTCTGGGTGAAAAGTATATGGGTGAAAAATATGTGCAAGAAGAGTTTCTGGGTGAAGAGTCTCTGGGTGAAAGTAATGTCCTGGGGGGGGGGGGGGGGGGGGGGGGGGGTAAATTTATGGGTGAAAATAAAATGTGGCAAGAAGAGTTTCTGGTGACGAGTCTCTGGTGAAAATTAATGGCAAGAAGAGGTTTCTTGTGAAGCAAATCTCTTCTGGTGAAAAGTATATGGGTGAAAAGTATGTGCAAGAAGAGTTTCTGGGTGAAGAGTCTCTGGGTGAAAAGTACATGGGTGAACAGTATGTGCAAGAAGAGTCTCTGGGTGAAAAGTATATGGGTGAAAAGTATGTGCAAGAAGAGTTTCTGGGTGAAAGTATATGGGTGAAAAGTATATGGGTGAAAAGTATGTGCAAGAAGAGTTTCTGGGTGAAGAATCTCTGGGTGAAAAGTCTGTGCAAGAAGAGTTTCTGGGTGAAGAATCTCTGGGTGAAAAGTATATGGGTGAAATGTATGTGCAAGAAGAGTTTCTAGGTGAAGAGTCTCTGGGTGAAAAGATCCCCTTTGGAATAACCCTCTCTAAAATGGGGGACCCCGGGGTCCCACTAAACTATTTTTTTAAGACAAAATTTAGCGATGTTTTTTTTCCAGGGGGGTGGGGCTTTCATTTTATAGTGATCCCAGGGGGGCAGGAGGATTTTGATTTTACAAGATTAAATTTCAATTCATAGCGATTCTCTTTTTGGCATGACACTCATGCATGGGGGTTGGGTGTTCCCATTCTATAGAGTCAGGAGGTTTCAGGAAATCATTCCTTTTGGGGGTTGGTAGCCTCCATTTTGCTCAGTCTTCGCGTGCCGTTTCCTGCTATAGCATGGATGGCAATGGGAACCTGGGGGAGTGTTCCCAAACCAGAGAAACGTAAGAATTGAAGAGAATGGAATAGAGTGGACAAACAAAGCCAGCTTTCTCCATCCAACCCCAAAATACCCAGCTGGCCCAAAATACCCAGCTTTGTCGATACCCCTAAATGCCCAGCTTGGAGAAATCCTTTGGCTTTGGGACATGGGACAGCATGGGACCACTATCAAATGGAAAACTTTCTCCATCCTACCCTAAAATACCCAGCTGCCCCAAAATACCCAGCTCTGTCGACACCCCAAAATACACAGCTTGGAGTTTTCAAATTTGACATCCCTGACAACATGGGACCACTATAAAATGGAAAACTTTCTCCATCCTACCCCAAAATACCACCCAGTGGCCAAAAAATACCCATCTCTGTCGATACCACAAAACACCCAGTTTGGAGTCTTTTTGTCGACATCCCTTGGCTTTTGGGACATAGGACAGCATGGGACCACTATAAAATGGAAAACCACCCCAAAAAATACCCAGCTGCCCCAAAAATACCTAGCTCTGTCGATACAACAAAATCCCAGCTTGGAGTCTTTTGTCGACAGGCCTTGGCTTTTGGACATGAGACCGCTCTAAAATAGAAAACTTTCTCCATCCTACCCCAAAAAACCAAGCGGCCCCAAAATACCCAGCTCTGTCGACACCCCAAAATACACAGCTTGGAGTTTTCAAATTTGACATACCTGACAACATGGGACCACTATAAAATGGAAAACTTTCTCCATCCTACCCCAAAATACCACCCAGTGGCCAAAAAATACCCATCTCTGTCGATACCACAAAACACCCAGTTTGGAGTCTTTTTGTCGACATCCCTTGGCTTTTGGGACATAGGACAGCATGGGACCACTATAAAATAGAAAACCACCCCAAAAAATACCCAGCTGCCCCAAAAATACCTAGCTCTGTCGATACAACAAAACACCCAGCTTGGAGTCTTTTTGTCGACATCCCTTGGCTTCGGGACATGACAACATGGGACCACTATAAAATTATTTTTCTCCATCCTACCCTAAAATACCCAGCTGCCCCAAAAATACCCAGCTCTGTCGACACAACAAAATACCAAGCTTGGAGTCTTTTTGTCGACATCCCTTGGCTTTTGGGACATGGGACAGCATGCGACCACTATAAAACGGAAAATTTTTTCCATCCTACCCTAAAATACCCAGCTGCCCCAAAAATACCCAGCTCTGTCGACACAACAAAATACCCAGCTTGGAGTCTTTTTGTCGACATCCCTTGGCTTTTGGGACATAGGACAGCATGGGACCAATGGAAAACTACCAGAAAATAAGTCTTGGTCTTTGTGTCAGCATCCCTTGGCTTTGGGACGTCCCGGGCTAAAGAAAAATGTGGTGTCTTTGGGGCGATGATGGTGGGAGGATGTGGGAAGGCTGCGGCACTATAAAATGGAAACCCCCAACCCCCAGAAAATCCTACCAGGAAGGGCATGTAATCTCTATAAAATCAGAGCACCCAACCTGTCAAGAAACCATTCATTTTTGGATGTTGTAAGATACAGGGGGGGGTTCCTATTCTATAGTAGAAAGTTGGCTAGTTCCTTCATTTTAAGGCTAGGCTCCAGGGTACGTTGGGGCCTCCCATTTTATAGTGATGGAGGGTTTTGCAGTAAATTTGTAGCTGTAAATATTTGCTTTTTCTAATAATTTTCTTATTTTATAGACGTGCACCTGTTTTGTGACCTTGGGTGTTTCCATTTTATAGAGGTCCCACTCCGGGGGGGGGATGGGTGCCCCCGTTTTAGTACTATAAAATGGGGGCACCCAACCCCCCCACTTAATCTAGTAGGGGATGTGAAAAGTATATGGGTGAAAAGTATGTGCAAGAAGAGTTTCTGGGTGAAAGTATATGGGTGAAAAATATGTGCAAGAAAAGTTTCTAGGTGAAGAGTCTCTGGGTGAAAAGTATATTGGTGAAAAGTATGTGCAAGAAGAGTTTCTGGGTGAAGAGTCTCTGGGTGAAAAGTATGTGCAAGAAGAGTCTCTGGGTGAAAAGTATATGGTAAAAAGTATATGGGTGAAAAGTAAAATTGAGGCTCCGATGTGGGACCATTATATGTAAGAGTTTCTGGGTGAAGAGCCTCTAGGTGAAAAGTATATGGGTGAAAAGTTTGAGCAAGAAGAGTTTCTGGGTGAAGAGTCTCTGGGTGAAAAGTATATGGGTGAAAAGTATGTGCAAGAAGAGTTTCTGGGTGAAGAGTCTCTGGGTGAAAAGTATATGGTTGAAAAGTATGTGCAAGAAGAGTCTATGGGTGAAAAGTATGTGGGTGAAAAGTATTTGCAAGAAGAGTTTCTGGGTGAAGAGTCTCTGGGTGAAAAGTATATGGGTGAAAAGTATGTGCAAGAAGAGTTTCTGGGTGAAGAGTCTCCGGGTGAAAAGTATATGGGTGAAAAGTATGTGCAAGAAGAGTTTCTGGGTGAAGAGTCTCTGGGTGAAAAGTATATGGGTGAAACAAGAAGAGTCTCTGGGTGAAAAGTATATGGGTGAAAAGTATGTGCAAGAAGAGTTTCTGGGTGAAGAGTCTCTGGGTGAAAAGTATATGGGTGAAAAGTATGTGCAAGAAGAGTTTCTGGGTGAAGAGTCTCTGGGTGAAAAGATGTGAGCAGTATATTGGTGAAAAGTATGTGCAAGAAGAGTTTCTGGGTGAAGAGTTCTGTGTAAAAAGTATATGGGCGAAAAGAATGTGCAAGAAGAGTCTCTGGGTGAAAAGTCTGTGCAAGGAGAGTTTCTGGGTGAAGAATCTCTGGGTGAAAAGTGTATGGGTGAACTGATGTGCAAGAAGAGTTTCTGGGTGAAGAGTCTCTGGGTGAAAAGTATATGGGTGAAATGTATGTGCAAGAAGAGTTTCTGGGTGAAGAGTCTCTGGGTGAAAAGTATATGGGTGAAAAGTATGTGCAAGAAGGGTTTCTGGGTGCAGAGTCTCTGGGTGAAAAGTATATGGGTGAAAAGTATGTGCAAGAAGAGTTTCTGGGTGAAGAGTCTCTGGGTGAAAAGTATATGGGTGAAAAGTATGTGCAAGAAGAGTCTCTGGGTGAAAAGTATATGGGTAAAAAGTATATGGGTGAAAAGTAAAATTGAGGCTCCGATGTGGGACCATTATATGTGCAAGAAGAGTTTCTGGGTGAATAGTCTCTAGGTGAAAAGTATATGGGTGACATGTATGTGCAAGAAGAGTTTCTGGGTGAAGAGTCTCTGGGTGAAAAGTATATGGGTG